TCTCTCTCTCTCTCTCTCTCTCTCTCTCTCTCTCTCTCTCTCTCTCTCTCTCTCTCTCTCTCTCTCTCTCTCTCACACACACACACACACACCTCTTTGCCATCTCTCTTTCTCACCACGACTCTGCCTGTGTGTGTGAAACGTACGTACAGTAAATGTACTTCTGCACACGGTAACTGCCAAAATAAATTGCCAACGACACGAAAAAAATCAAATTGGCCAAAGACAATCCACCCCAGGCAGGAAGGGAGTCAATCGGCAGCAACGTGAATCGGGAATGTGGCTCTGGCAATGGCACCTAACATGGACCAATCACGGAGAAGGAGAATTGTGTTGTTAGTTTGAATGGTACACAGCACTGCCCACACGTACAAATGCTGATTAAGGAGTCGGGACACAAATGTGTCGAGCACTGTCCCTCTTTTTTTTTTGTTCAAAAAGTCTAAATCCGAGTAGAGAGAGTTCACCGACGAATTACCTCCACACACATCAATCTTCAATCAATCTCTTCATCCTAAATGTGCTGCCTTTACGACAAGGACAACAAAGACGATAGCCGCTAGTGCCCGCTCATCCTCAAGCCTCACTACAAATCAAGGTACCAGAAAAATACTTGCAAAAAAAAAGGGACTCTTCTTCTACATCATGCCTCCTTCACTCAACCTTCTTTTTTTTTATCTTTTTTTTTTTCCGCTTCACCTCCACCTCTACCTCACTTTCCATAAAAACTCCATTTCCTTCTACAAAGCTCCATTTCCTACACTACAAGGAACTGGAATGGAGATCACTTAATCCAGTCTCTCCTAGTCCCAATTCCAACTCAAATTTTCAACCTGCCACCACACTCGCCTCCCTTTTCCTTCAAATCCATGATCTCATCATCTTCCTCCGGCCTTCCATCAACCATTCAAATCTCGGCACTTACCCCATTTATGTGGTTCTTCCCTCCTTCCCTCTCTTGCTTCTCCCCTCCCTGCTTCTCCCCCAACTTAACACCTATCCCCAACTCCCTACGTTCCTGTATCCCTCCTCCTCCTCCCCCTCTCTCCCGCTATTTTCCTTCCTTCTCCTTCGCCGCTTTCTCCGTCTCACTCTGCACCTTCCTCCCCCCATTCCTTCCGTTCCCCTCTCCCTTTCCCCCTTCCTCGCTCCATCCCTACATTCGTCTGAACTTCCCTCTCCCCCCAACTCCCTACGTACTGTATCCCTCCTCCTCCCCCTCTCTCCCGCTATTCTCCTTCCCTTTCTCCGTCTCACTCTCCCCCTTCCTCCCCCCATTCCTTCCGTTCCCCGTTCCCCCCTTCCTCGCTCCATTCCTACATTCGTCTGAACCTCCCTCACTCCCTCGCTCCTCCGATCTCTCCCTCCCTTCCTTCAGCCATCCTCCCCTCCTTCCCTCCATTTCTCCCGTCCCTTGCGTCTGTCTCCTTTCAGCTTTCTAGATTGATCTTGTACATGACGACATGGTTCCGCGCTTGTTTATTTTTTCCCCATCTTCCAAGGCGGGGTTCCTGTCCCATTCCCGCGAGCAGAAATCGGCCGCTTTTAGCGAAGGCCAGCGAGTTCACAAAGCCCACAGAAGGAAGCATCCCAACCGTCCACAGCTGCTGTTTCTCCGCATCGTGACCCCAAACTCGAACGACGCCATCGCCTGCACCACTAGCCAACAAGTCGCTACCCCGACAGGCCGCGATCGCGCCAACCCACCCCTCTACGCCAACCCTAAACCCTAATCCAGCAGAGGCATTCGATGCGACCGGTTGCTTCATCGAATCACTCTCTTTGGTGTTCAAGTGGTGTCCGTTCCGATCCACTCTGCTTGAATGAACACTGCCGCCAGACCCGTCCTCATTCGTCATTGCGGAACCTCTGGCATCACCTGCAGACGCTGTCTTATTGCCATCGAGATTGCTACCACCATCTCCGTCGTTAGCGCTTTGCGCCCTCCGCTGCGCTTTCCCTTCCCCCTCCACGTTGTTCGCCTGATCAATCGCCCCCCCGCCGCCATGCGCGTTCCTGACGATGAACACGGGCTTTTTACGCAAAAGGCTCCAGAGAGCGACGGACCCATCATCCCCGCCGGAGACGAACTCGCTCGCCGAGATGAAAGCACAGCTGTCGATCGACGTCGTCGTTTGATGACCTCTGAACACAAGCTGCGTTTCTTCGGGAACCTTCCAGAGACGGCAAGTCTTATCTCTGCTACAGGTTAGGATCCTCTCCCGCCGAAGAGAATCGAGCGACACCACGTCACTCTGATGGCCAAACAAAGAGTCCACGTACGCCATGTCATCTACATTCCAGATCTTCACCGCCCGATCGTTAGATCCAGAGAACAGCTGATTGGTTCCAGCCCTAAAACTCAAGCACGTGACGGCACCCCTATGCCCTGCGAATGCCCTAACATGCTTACGTGTTCTCGTGTCCCATACATGCACCCTTCTGTCCAGCCCACCTGCCACAAGGTAATTACCATCTGAGCTCACAGCGATCGACAGGAGATGCCTGCTCTGTTTCCGCGTGTCTTTCGATGTGTTGCTCGGTGCAGGGTACTCAACGCAACTGTTCGTCTCCACATCCCATTGATAGATCGCTCCATCCTTCGACGCTGAGAACCCCGTCCTGTCGTCCGTGGTCAATGCCACGCTTGTCACAGACTGCCTATGTCGCCTCCCTACTCGCTTTCCTCTCTGCTCTCCTTCTGCTAATCCCGCCGCCACGCCTAATCTCACACTTGCAGCGATTTTTCTCAGCAGTCGTCCGGTTGCTTCTGCTGTCTCTTCTTTCAACTTCGCAGCTACCGCATCATCTTCACCATCGCTGGCATCGTCATCACCCCCTCTCCTCCCCGCCCCATCGTCGTCATCCTCGCCTTCCTCTCCTCCGCTCTCGCTCTCTGCCGCCGCTGCTGCCCCCTTCAATCTGTCCAGATACGCCTTGGCTATCCTCAGCCGCTTCTCTTCCGCCGTTTCCTCGAGGAGACCATCCACGTCCGCCCTCTGCTCTTCCTCCACGTCACGCGATCTATTCTTCTTGACGTCAACACCTTCATCCTCGGAAGAAGCGACATGCTCCTCACCTCCAAAGAAGTCATCATCTTCTCCGTCCTCTTCCGCCCGAGAGGTCGGCCTTCTCCTCTTCACTTCTCGCTTCTTCCTCGTGAGCTGCTCTCCCTTCTTCCGCTTCATGGCCGACGAGCGGGTCAAGGATGGCATTCCGCGGACAAAGGGACTTGCATCCGGAAAGACGAGATCGAATGACGGGGCGACTGAGATCTCCTCGCTGGTGCTGACAGGGAAATCGTCCCACGAAAGCGCCCTGGCACTTGGCGGCAATCCGATTCGCCGCCCGCGAAATTTCGTCAGGCCTCAGGCTTGCAGTCAATCCACCAATCAACCATCCAAACGACCAATCAACGATCCCACCAATCGACCCAATCAACCCAATCAACCGATCAAACAATCAGGCAATCGAGAGAGAGTGCAGCCGCAAGGAGCTAGAGCCGCCACAAGCAAGAGAGGAGCGCCACCGACACGCGAGAAGGACACGGCTGGGCAGACGGTCGATCCAAACACGCGCTGCGAGGCCGCTGGCATAACGCTGGCTGCGCCCTAGCTTGGCGGCCCCGCGTCGGCCTACCGGCTTCCGCCGTACTAAGGTCGGCCGGCTCGGGAAGGTCCAGAGGGCGAAAAGATTGCCCACCCCTCTCTCCCCCCCCCGGTCCTTCGGGACATCCGTAAGAATTGGAAGTATACAGAGAAGATTAGCATGGCCCCTGCGAGAAATGGTCCAAATATGGAAAAAATATATATAATAAAAAAAAAAAGATTGCCCCCGCCATCACTTTCGGTCCTTCCTTGCCTCTCGAGCCGAAGCTCGACACACCGTTGGATTTTGCGACCGCGCTTGAAACCCTGAACATAACCCATACGGGTTCCTTCCCCGAACATAGAGCATAGGCTTTCGTTCCCCGAACATAGAGCGCACTAGGCTTTCCTTCCCCGAATATCACACATAGGCGTTCTATTCCAGTCTCCACAAGCGGGTGTCTTTCAGATTTTGGGGCGATTTTCGGGAACTTTGTCTACTGCTCCTAACAGATGAATCATTTCGTGAGATGCCCGTCTTCACAGGAAAGGGACATGGTGTAGTGCCCCCTTGATGGGCATCAATAGTTGTTGAATGTCCCCTTACTTCTATGGGCCAAAGGGCGCCAACACACAAGGGGGGTGCAAACGAGAGGGACATCACGCAATGCCCCTCTCTTTTAGGGGCATCTAGCGAAATAGCGCATTTTTCTTTCGGGTAATTTGTTTTGGGACACTCAAAGTTTGTTTTTGGACACTCAAAGTTCCTTTTACTTCCAACATGCCCCTCCGATGGCCCGGTCATGCCTCTAGGGCCTGAAATCTGGGGGTGCAACTCTTCCTGTACCGGCAACCCTGTCGTGCCTGTAGGACCTGAAATATTTTCAGCAGGCTCCTCTCAAAAGGGGGTGCAACTCTCTGGCACGCCCTTCCTGTATCGGCGGTCCCATTGCATGGGACCATTCGTGATCGGCCATGCATCTTTTTGGCATGCCCACCCAACATTGACATGCCCCAAATTTAAATTTCAACTACCTATTGTTGGACCCGCCACCTTGGAGGTTTCATTCTAACGTCGTTGTCGAACGCATCAGTCCCGCACGAGGACCCTCCCGACCGCATTACGCGGGATTGGTAGGCATTTTGGAACACAAACAAAGAAGCATCAATGCCACTCCGGCAGAGTGCGCCAGTTATACAACTTATACCTCCTTTGAGCCCCTACGACAGGATAGGATCCCGCGAGGTATAGCTTACCTCCACCCGTCAGAGTTATCACCATCCCTTAGGTGGACGTTTTCTTGCCGAGCTACAGACCGCCACGCGAAAGCTTTCACATGCAACCGTTGACGTGAACCAGTCGAGGGCGTCTCTTATATATGATGTAGCATAGGGGGTACGTGTCGTTGACGCTTCAAGTTCATGCGTTACCCATAATTGTGCGGCTTTCGTGGGTTTCAGGGTCGCGCACGACGTTCAAGTGCCGAATGCGAAATACCACTAGAAAAGCTTCCTTCATGACATACAACGACTAAAGGTCAAAACGTTCGGCCTTCGCGGGGGCGCTGACCCTTAGGCAGAGTGTAGCGGTAGGCGAGGATCAAATGTTTAATGCATCGGGGGTGACCCTTGTGTTGGATAAAGACCTTAAATTTGATCCAGGACCCAATGTCCGATAGACAAATTAAATAAACAACCACCGTTGATACCTATTTATATCGTAGCGCCTAGTCCCCGTGAGAGCGCTAGGCTAAATACGGTTCACGAGTGATCCATTCCGCCTGAGATGAGGATCAACTCGGATAATAATCGGCTCATACCTCGCGTTAACCGACTCTACCCGATTGATAGAAAATACGGGTACGACCAAATATCAAATTCACTTGGGAAAAAAGAAAGGGGTTTATGTGAGAACCAAGGGAGAGCACTCCTTACAATCACTCGTAGCTTACTCATTCATCTATACACATTCATTCACCTCGGTATGAAAGACAAGATCAAACTTCAAAGTATATACTTGCGCACACACATATTCAACCAAGCTACAAGTTCACGCACTAACGTGGTCAACCCCTTTGTCACCTCGCATGTCCCACACACCCTTTTTTAACCCCCATTAAGCAATGCCATAACCCTTTCTACACCGTTTATCTCACCCCCTGCATGTTCATTCACGGAACGTTCAAAGAGGGGAAATACTTTTAGAGGTAATGTTATTCACCTACAGGGTTTTTAGACATTTGGGTGCAGGTATCAACTTGAAGGAGGGCGGAGGCTGGGTCGCAAACTGACCTACTATCAATCGATGGCAGAATAGAAGATTCGCCAACCCGCGCTGAGTGTTTTGTTAACACTCGGAACTGGAATTATTCCCTTTGACAAGCAATCGAACATGCATATTCATTTTAACCACGAATGGGATCGGTCCCTATCCGTCCAAACATAAAGAAATTTCGACATCACCTCCCCTGGTATGCTCCTAGAATTCCTACGATATCAGAATCAGAATGAAAAACATTAAGACTTCAGAATATGAAAAAAAAAAAGCTAACTCTTTGATCCTCGTAAAAATTATGAAAGTATCCCTCCTAAGGAAGTAGATTTTCAGAACTTATACCAAAATCAAAAACTAAATAGACGCACTTCAAACACTAAAGGAGTTTTGGTTAACCCTGCAGTACTTACAAAAATTTCGGTTGCATCTCTCATAGGGAAGTAGGCTGTCATAATTTTTATTGGTCTATGAGTTAACCAAAATCTTATAACTAAGTACAAAAGACAAAAAAATACATGATTAAGCAACATCTACAAAAATTTCAGTTGCATCTCCCACAAGGAAGTAGGTTGTTATAATTTTTATTGGCCTATGAGTCAACCAAAATCTTTATAACTAAGTACAAAAGGAACAAAAAATACATGATTGAGCAACGTCCGGACAACTAAGCTACTACCTCTCATGCACTCGGTGGACCCTAACAGATTAAGCTACCAACCAAAGTGTACAAGTAAAAGACAAGACAACATCATAATACAAAGCAAGGAGAACAAAGCATTACAAGGTTTATTTACGAAAGGTTTTTCCTCTGCTTTATATACGAAAATCCTTTGGATATATTGTATCGGATTTGTTATTTATTAACCTTTAGTAAACCAATGAATATTTATATGCACCTAACCTTTCAGAAACCAATTAAGTATCTGGTCAAGGGGTCATGAGTTGACACTTGTCCGACCCAAAAACTAAAAGAAACAAAGTCTCTGAACTTGTTCCTCACCAGCCTTAGTCCACGTCAGAAAAAATTATATCTGTCAAAACAACACATCTAAACAGGTTCCTTATCTTCGTTCGATTACACAAACATTCCGTTTACAATACCTACCATTATTACTTGGACTTGTTTCTCATCGGACCTAGTCCAGGTTTGTGAGATTCATACATAAGGTAACCCTTTGTTTCGAAACTTAAACTAATAATACTCCACAATATATGAAACTATTCCTGATTGGCCCTGGTCCATGTTTGGCAAACCCAAACCTTGACAAATAGCATGACACTTAGGTTACCTCTTCGATGAGGTTTCACAAAACTCGGACATGTTCCTCATCAGCCATGGTCCAGGTTTGAGAAGTTCATATTATCAAATGTGGTGTCCTTTTCAAGTTCTTTAACAACAAATAGATAGTCGTTCGCAGTACCTAGACTTGTTCCTCATCGACCCTGGTCCAGATTGAAGACATTCAAACCAGCGCAAACTTGAACAATACAACAAGATAAGTTTCTTTGTTTAGATAGAAGATGTTTTTCCTAGTTACCTGGATCTGTTCCTCATCGGCCCTAGTCCATGTCTGAGAGGTTCATATTGCCACAAACAAAATTTTATTCTTTAGCATCAAACAAACAATCCTTTGCAGTACTTGGACTTGTTCCTCATCGGCCCTGGTCTAAGTTTGAGAAGGTTCAAACCATTCAAACAATAAAGCAAAGTAACTCCCTTTCCAAAAACAAATAAATGATTTTGTAGGCATAGTTTTAGTTTGATTCAGATTAAGTTATCAACAATAATAAGACGAACACAAAATTAATCAAACCAAAGAAATTTAGAAGGGGATACAATATAGGAGTTAAGGGAAACTAAGGGCGATTGTATTGGCCTACCTCTCACTGACTCTCAGTTCCTTGCCTTCAGGACCCCACATGAATCCTGACATAACTACCACAATCGTGTGGGCTCCTCAGGTCCCACGGAATAAGATCAAAACAAAGTCTAGTTGGGATAGAATCCCGCTAGTTGTCCTCCTCTCATGAAGCGTCGCTAAATCAGAGTATCAGAGAGTAAGGGAGAAAAAAAAGACTCTTAGATGCTCAAGATGTGAGGAGGATGTGGTCAAGGAATCACGAGAGGGCCTTCAATGTAGTGGCAGTGTGCATCTCGACACTCAAAACCAATTGTGCAATAACCTCAGTCAACTGCAGCAACAAGCACACACGCCGCGCACTCCCACCAACTATAGCAGTAGCCAATGAGATCCACAAAAATACCAGTAGTCAATGGGGTCCGTAGCTCGAAGTCACTTCCAGCGAGTCAAGCAACCACAACGACAAATACATGTGACAAGTATCGTGATGCCAGCAGACCAAGGCAACAACAACCTCCTCAAAACAATACTTGATTCTCCAATTTGTTGTGCATGAGGTCTGAAGTTCTGGCCCAATCAAACCATTAGTTCACATCAACACTCCAAGGCTTGGTCAATTGCAACTATGGTCAAGGCAAGCACAACCCTCCATATCATCAATCAGTTGTACTGACCTTGGTTGAAAATGGCTTTAGCCCTTTCTTGACGCCATTTTAAACACACTCCCTTTCGATCAGCAACCTAACCGATGCAGTCCTCTCCTGTCCCTAATCCAACTTGGTTTGTTCGCCAACCTCAATTTGAATACGGTCCCTCACACCAATGATCTTATTGTGCCAATTAACACTCTCGCCTAGTCGTGATCTACCTTCCTGCTAGTGGCCCCTACAACAAGGCAGTTATCCAT